TAATTTCTTTGAGTTTTTCGAGTCCTTCCTTCCGTCGTGTTAATGTGTTGGCATATCACAGATGTACTAATGTCTAATGTGGGCCTTGGAGAACTATCCCTTCTTTTAATATTACGTTCAGTTTGGGGAAGTAATTCTTCTGCTTTCATTTCATGAATAATGCGTCAATTCCCGTGGGAGACATTTTGATATAGGAGACAAAAATAATACCTTATGGTTATTCGGACAATACTAGCCGAAATGATATATTAACATCAATGAAAGTCAGCCAATTTATATACAAGAAGGATTCCTCTTTCATATGCCATGCTCATTCTGGGCGTGGGCAATCAAGACTCTCCACAGCTTCCTCTCTTTTTTAGCACTAAGTTATGAATCTTTACTATAATTCTTGAATTCCCTCGCTGGTAGCCATTCACTTAGGTACGTTAATCGCAGTTTTTACACTCCTTGCCTTGAATATGTCGTATTAAATTTTCCAAGCCGTCTTTTCTCAGTCTGTCCCAGAAATGTCAACTGTCCCTTTCTGATTTTAAACATAACTGTCTTTTCGTTCCAATTTTAGAAAAAAACTTCTCCGTGGCTTACATGTTCAATTCATAAGTTTCCCAGCATCTTCCATTCGCTGCAAGGTTCATCTTTCTCTCTATTGAAATCGTTCAGCTTTCAATGCCATCTAAGAGGATAGATATGACATAACAGTTCAGAATTCTTTTTTGTCTCTAACGATAATTTAATAACACTCAATACTTTGCTTAGGTTCTAGAGAGCATCCTCAATCAAAATATGAATTAGTTAAGTCTATATATTGTGGTGAAATTAACCCCTTCTTGAATAATAAACTTTAGAACTTATAAAATAAGGTCGTTGTAATTCGAGGCAAGATTTTCAGCCAACGATTTTTATCTGAACACCCGCCTGAACGGAAATTGACACAAGATAGAGTTTGTAAAAGGAGTCCCATACGTACAAAGGACCAAAAAAACAAAAATAGGATCTGATAAAATCCAAAGAAGAATCTGCAATGTTATTGGTCCTGACCTGTTATCTTCGCTTTAGTTACTTTTCCATCAGCGTAATGTAGCTTCTCCGGTACCTTTTCTATAAATACTTTCATGATAATTGTTCGGATGAACTTTCCTCTATGGTACCCAGACCTAAGGAATTTAAGCGCAGTACTAGATTGGCGGAAAGGTCTCATCATTTTACAGTTGAAATGTCTGGATATAATTATGTTCTATGTTAACAGTTTCTTCTATCGCACATCTTGCTCGTGGAACACTCTTCCGGCTTCTTGCTTCCCAATCAACTTTGATTTTCAAAAAATTAAATGTCAATTAATATCTGTCTATATTTCTGAGATGAGATATTGTAACTATTTGCACTATTTACATTGTTTAGACTGTTGTCCTCACCTTTATTGCCCAGTCTATATTTCACAGTCTATAACAATTTACACTATTTACAGTTCGGACTGTTGTCCTCATCTTTACACTATTTACAGTCTATATTTCTGAGGAGTGTTGTAATTATTTACACTATTTACATTTGTTTGGACTGTTTCCTCATCTTTATTGCCATATTCACAGTCTATATTTCTGAGATGAGGTATTGTAACTATTTACACTATTTACATTGTTCGGACTGTTGTCCTCATCTTTATTGCCATATTCACAGTCTATATTTCTGAGATGAGGTATTGTAACTATTTACACTATTTACATTGTTTGGACTGTTGTCCTCATCTTTATTGCCATATTCACAGTCTATATTACTCAGACGACGTAACTATTTACACTATTTACATTGTTACTGTTGTCCTCACTTTATTATTTCACAGTCTATATTTCAGACGACGTATTGTAACTATTTTATTTACATTGTTTGGACTGTTGTCCTCATCTTTATTGCCATATTCACAGTCTATATTTCTGAGATGAGTATTGTAACTATTTTACACTATTTACATTGTTTGGACTGTTGTCCTCATCTTTATTGCCATATTCACAGTCTATATTTTGAGATTGTTTGTAACTATTTTTACTCTATTTACATTGTTCGGACTGTTGTCCTCATCTTTATTGCCATATTCACAGTCTATATTTCTGAGATGAGGTATTGTAACTATTTACACTATTTACATTTGCATATTCACAGTCTATATTACTCAGACGACATTGTAACTATTTACACTATTTACATTTTGGACTGTTGTCCTCATCTTTATTGCCATATTCACAGTCTATATTTCTCAGATGAGGTATTGTAACTATTTACACTATTTACATTGTTCGGACGGTTGTCCTCATCTTTAGCCATATTCACAGTCTATATTTCTGAGATGAACTATTTACACTATTTACATTGTTTGGACTGTTGTCCTCATCTTTATTGCCACATTGTCTATATTTCAGACGACGTATTGTAACTATTTACATTATTTACATTGTTCGGACTGTTGTCCTCATCTTTATTGCCATATTCACAGTCTATATTTTTTGAGATGAGGTATTGTAACTATTTACACTATTTACATTGTTCGGACGGTTTCCTCATCTTTATTGCCATATTAGTCTATATTTCTGAGATGAGGTATTGACTATTGACATTGTTTGGACGGTTGTCCTCATCTTTATTGCCATATTCACAGTCTATATTTCTGAGATGAGGTATTGTAACTATTTTCACTATTGACATTGTTTGGACTGTTGTCCTCATCTTTATTGCCATATTCACAGTCTATATTTCTGAGATGAGGTATTGTAACTATTTACACTATTCAGACTGATGTCCTCATCTTTATTGCCATATTCACAGTCTATATTTTTGAGATGAGGTATTGTAATTGTTTACATTGTTCCGATCTTTATTGCCATATTAACGACGTTTCGGCCGTTGTACACTTCGGTCTCCTTCAGGACACATTGCCCAGTGGATAAAAGCGTTGGTTGGACCCAGTGATTTAACCCAAAGAGTTATGAGTGTTCAGTACCTGGCTACTGAAGTGATGAACAAAAACTTGAAAGTTGAGTTCAAGGGAGATAACTGGGATATCCGGAAGATGCATGGCAGGTGAAACTAGAACAATCTACCCCGCTGGGCGAAATAAAGGGCTCAGTTTGAAAGTCCAAACACCTGAAGATGGGCGGGGCGTATAACGGCCGAAACGTCGTGAATATAAAAGTAAAGATGAGGACAACAGTCCGCAAAAATGTAAATAATGTAAGTCTGTCTACTTATTACTTGTTCTTTTATTGTTTTCTCTTCTTAATAGTATTTTTCTCTTATTCTCTCATGCTCAATAACCCCTTGCGTCTTAGTGGCTCTATTGCCTTGCTTTGGGTGAAATGATTAAAAGAAACAGTCTAGAAATCGAGAGAGAGAGAGGGTGCGTAGGAAGGGGTTGGGGTTAATACCTGGCCCCTGAGGCTCAACTGAGAAATGTCTTCACCCAAGTTGTGAGTTCAGTAACTGGCTACAGCTGAGATGAACAAAAACTTAGAGAGATAAGGGAGATAACTGATACTGAGGCACCCGGAAGAGGCATGACACGTGGAATTAGAACAATTTACCCCGGTAGACGAAATAAAGGGTTCAGGTTCGCAATTCCAATTACCTGAAGAAAGCCGGAGCGTACAACGACCGAAACGCCGAGAATATGGCTACAGAGATTAGGACAATGGTACGAACAATGGAAACTTTATTCAACTTAATAAATGCGATTTAAGAGAGAGAAATTGAGGGGTAATAATTATGGCTAATGACACTCTGTATCTAAAAAGATTAACTCCAGATTCTCTGTAGTATTTCGACCCACGCCCATATTCCTTTCATATAAGAAATGTTTAGCGCTGTTCTGACATCGAAAAGCAGTCTATGTAGATATAAACAGATATACTCACAATAAACGATACCAAAATTTAATTTGGAATAAAGAAGATTGCAAAAGTCAAAGCCGATGTCTTCGTCGGAGCACAAATAAAGAAGATCATAGATGCCATGAATTCCCTAAGAAGCTCATTAGGGCGGAGAAACCGACGTGGAACGGCTTCGTCACAGTGGTTCGGGGATTCCTGGAGAATCACGAAGCTGAAAACTATGTGGAACTTGTTGAGATTCTGGTGAAGAACTACGGCAAAATGAACAGCAAAATGTCCGTCAAAGTCCATATCCTTGACGCTCATCTTGTTAAATTCAAAGAGAACACGGGAATCGTACTCATAGGAGAAAGGCAAGCGCTTCCACCAGGATATACGGGACTTTGAATATTGTTACCAAAGATCGTATAACAAAAAAGGTATGGGGGACTATATTGGTGGGGTCTGATTCGAGAATTAATTTACAGTATAAGAGTAAATCGCGAAAAACTGCTCCCTTCTAAACATTTTATGGTCTCTCTTGTATAATCCTAGAATAAATAAATGCTACTTTTGAATCATATGTCGTTTTGTTCCTATTTTGCCTGAACGAGACTGTTCTTGTGTAATCCTATAATAAATAAATGCTACTTTTGAATCATGTTGTTTTGTTTCTACTTTGCCTGAACGAGAATGTTCACATTCACCAATTTTCCCAATGAGAATAGGCAAATTTCAGAAATATCATTATCCTATTTACAAAAGCAATGTTTGACAGAAATCTTAGCCATTTTACATACTTTCTAGGCATAAACAAATAGGAAATAATAGTTGCTCCCCAAGGACAAAAATCGTGTTACACAGTGATTGAAATATAGATTGACACCTGCCTTGGATTAATGTGTAGTATCTGTAAACTTTGTCTGAAACACAGTGTTGCTTCCATCTTCCAATTTCAGTCTAGGAATAATAATGATTTAATGATACAGGTCTTACTAATTAACCCATAACTGGGGAAAAGGGGGATTCATAACCTTCCCAAGGTTATTTGCGCGTAAGTGAATATAACGAACCCGATTGGAATTGGAACTCTCCGATTTACAATTCCGAGCCGTTATCCACTACACCAGCTGCACATCCAAGCTTACAGCACCTGATATTTCAAAAGCGGTCGCCCATATAGGTACTGATCAAGCCCGACGTTGCTTAACTTTGGTGACCGTATGAGAACCGGTGATTGAAAGTGATTTGGCCGTAAGCCCTAGGGCTAGAATCAGTGTAGTATTTGCAGTATGTGATAAGTATTACACAGACTGATATATATTGTTCAGGAATTTACTTACTCATTTGAAGAATATCTCTAATAATAATAAAAATTTAAACATATTTATTGGTCACACAAACACTACATTATCTCAGTGATTAACTTGACATGTATCTAATAATAGTTCCATTAAATTACATATTATTAATCAATGCAAGAACAGGAAAGTTGGAAAATTCTTTTTTTTTCCTTTAGAAAACCGTATAGATTATGTTTTAAATATATTTTATATTGTTTTATATTTTATGTTTTATGTTTTATATGGTTGTGTGACACAAACTCAAAAAAAGTTCAGCTCAAATTGAAACTTTGCCAAGCCATATGAGGCTCATTAACACAAATCACAAGATGAAAGATAAAGTGAAAATAACTCTATGTTCTCTCTCTCTCTCTCTCTCTCTCACACACACACACACACACAACCTTCGATACCGTATGTAGCAACTCTTTGAAACTAACACCTTAAAAGATCTAGTGCAAAACTCACTTAAGGGTATGATGGGTTTCCCTGGAAGAAAAATAACGTAAATTTGTAGTCGCTAATGAGCGGCAGATATTCAATAAACTGGTTCAAGATTGCCATAAATGGCGGGAAATAAATCATTCCTGTTCGCAATCTGCCACAGGCGAAAACAATGACTAATGAATGAGGCGTGTTTAAATTTCCACAAATGAAAATATACGTCTAATTCATTAACTGGGGGCCGTCTGCTGAAGTTTGAAGTGAACTTCTGGGAAATTCAATGAATTGCAGTGAGGGGTAATTTCCTTAATACGCTTGTAAATCATGCATTGTATAAACCTGTAAATACGATACATCTGGACATAACACCGTGAAGCAATAGCTAGAAAACTATTACCGCTGACATTTATTTATGTAATGAGATCGGTCCTCACCAGGTGCCTTCCCATTTATGGTTTTGTGTAGGTAAGCTTAGTAAATTTAATAAATTTCGATCTCCCGAAATTAGCCACCTTCCTAACACGCTTTCTAACGATGACGCTACGGTAGGCGCTCACTAAGATTACTTCTTAGGTATATGTCAAATATTTAAAGATGGAGCATTTTCTAGGCTTAAATATTACTTGGGGGGGGAGGTTCATAAATGTCATTTGAAAAAAAAAAAAAATTCCCTAAAAAGCCGCTCAAAAATACAAGTGTTAATTAAAATTCTTTACCAATTGATATTAACTGTTTTGAAAAGGTGTCATCAAAAGACGACGTCATCTTTAACTATTTTTCCGTTGATGTTATTATATTTTATTTAAAAGAAGAAAAAAAAAATGAGTAATACAATTTTTAAAAATAATTATTTGATGATATAAATTGGATAATTACAGGTAACCACAAAATACAGGTGACTTCTGCCGACTAGCCGAAGTCAGACAGGTTAAGCTAACCACCTGATGGTTGATTTATTTTCCTGCGTTATTTTAAAGCGAACAATAAATAAATATTGGAGACAGGCATTTTGGATTCATCTTTTAAATGCTTATTCATCGCCGCTGACCTCATTTGACTACCAGTGTCCTTTCCCATATAAATTATTCTTTTAACTAATTGTTATTTATTTAATACACTGGTCAACACGATTTTTGGTGCCAAGAAACAAAACAAGATTTTAGCTAATTTGATGGTGCTGATTCCGAAAAATGACCCGTTTTTAATGGTTACCTACCATTTTTGCTGTACTGAATTTGCTCATTTTTAGAAAAAAAGATCAATTTATGATCTTGGCTGATCGCAAAATTTAGTTAATAAAGGTCGTAGAAACCCATAAATTTTCAGGTAGGCCGAGCAATTTATGTCAGCCACCTGAAATAAACTATTTTTATAAGAAAAAGTGTTTTTGAGTTAAAAATTTTAAAATAAAAATACCGAATTTTTCCAATTTATCGCCAAAATTCAAATTAACTGAGAAAACTTTATCAGTAATACACTTTAGTAAACCTGATAATTAAGGTGACATCAGAAAAATAGAACCGTAAAATCTTCTGTTTGATATTCATAAATTTATACCATCACTTTTATCACTGCACTACGGAAGGAAACCAAACACATTGAAAGCATTTTGTTTTCACAGTTAAAAAGAAATTCAAGCTAAAGACATTCCAATTGAATGCACCTATTCCATTGTACATGATACTGCTGGAGCATCAAAAGAGACTTAAATAACATTGAACATAACAGACAATCAAGAAAGAGAAAAATTTTTACCATAGTTCTTATGTTCACGAAGATTTTATTTCTGCTGGTAGATTATTAACTGATTTGATGAAAATACTTGTTGGTCTTGGTATATTCAATCGTGTTATTTTTCAAGACTAAAGATTTGATTGTTATTGTAAAAACAGTATTTCTCAATAAGCAGACCAATATTTGTTGGTTTAAATACGAATTGAAAGTTTTCTACGATTTTATTTTGAGAAATATTGCCATCGATCAATATCATACAGACAGCAAACAAATGAAAAAAATGCTGTTTTTTGCCAAAAATGAGTCATTTCTGTACAGCAAAAACGGTTGCTAACCAACAAAAAGTGAGGTCATTTTAGCTAAAAAGTGAGGTCAAATTAGCTAAAAAAGATATTTGGTACACTATTTACATTATTCAGACTATTGTCCTCATCTTTGTTGCCATATTAATTACAACGTTTCGGCCGTTGTACGCTCCGGCCTTCTTCTGGTTGGAATGTCGAACTGAACCCTTTATTTCGCCCACTGGGGTAGACTGTTCTAGTTCCACGTGCCATATTTAATGGATGCCAGTTATCAGTTATCTCATGTTAATTCCCCTCTCCAAGTTCTCCACTGCCTTAACCGGGTATTGAACCCACACTCTTTGAGTCCTGTCACTAGATCTAACCAATGTCTTTATCCACTGTACCATGTGTCCTTGAGGACATCTGTGTATGAATTTCTGGGTATTATAAACCTGTCTTCAGCAACCATTTTTTACCAGTGCTCATATTGCAATTTTTGCTGTTATCATTGAATGTTTTTACCAGAGCTCATATTGCAATTTTTGTTGTTATTATTGCTTTTCTCTGGCACTCCTTATTACTGGTTCCCATATTGTATTCATTTCTATGCTTGGTCGGCTCAGGAGATTTTTGTGGCCTAGTATATGTTCTGATTCCTTAAGTTTACGAATTTTCCAATGGTGTTCTTTGTCTATGATTTCAACCTGGTCCCACAGAGGGCAGTGATCTTTGACATTCCAACCACCTGAAGAAGGCCAGAGCGTACAACGGCCGAAACGTTGCGATAAATATAGCTCGACGCTGTTTCAAAAATTTTTTGTTGCTGACCAGTGATACTGCTATGAGACCTTACCCATAATAACATAATGGACTATTCCATACGTAATAAATACTGCGCCTCAAGAGGAAGGAGGGAGTTCAGCCCGAAGTCGGGCGACCGGCTGATCGGTTGAACTCTGCTTCGCTGGGGAGGAAACTGAATGAGGCTCCGCCGAAGGCGGAGTCTCTTTCGGGAGGTAAACTCGACCCTGAACCCGTTTATACGGGGTTCAAAGGGCATATTTTTGGCCGAGCCCACGGGCTCGGAGATCCCACGTTAAACCGGCCTTGTGCCACATGATGCGCCCTCGTGGTGGTGGGGGGGACTAAATACCGTTCAGTCTGAAGTCTGGAGTGAAGACCGTCAGGAGTCTGTCAGTCAGAGCGAGCGAGTCAGTCAGTCGAGTCAGAGGCAGTCCGAACAGAGTCGCGTTCAGACAATTACTACTAAACCTGATTGTTCGTACTAACACTTTCTACTTCTCTGTATATATTCCTGTTTGTAATATATCTGTGTTATTCCATATCCGTGTTCGAGTTCTTCTTTATTGGTTCTACCTTGGACTATCACCGTGGTACAAGGAACCGGACCATAACAGATACATATTATGGTTTTTTATTCTGCTTGTTTTGTTTTTTTCCAGCTCGCTGCGTCAGAAGTTTAAGCCAAGAAGCTGATGGGTGCGTTTGAATAACCAATCCACAACTAAAGACGAGAAATTGCAACAAACAATGTCTTCTGTTTAAACCAGTTAGGATCAAATAGATATTTTTGAATATTTTGTCTTACTTTTTATTTGGCATCTACTGCAAGCAAAGTTGGGTCACTGTGCCGTGCCAGAAAATATTTTCTCTCCAGAATCCATCTTGTACATTTACAAATCTACCATTCGTCCGTGCATTGGATACGGCTTCTATATCCATATCTGGTCTGGTGCTCCTGCTATTCATTTCGAGGATCTTGACAAAATCTAAAGAAAGATCTGTAATGTAATGACCTGGCTTCTCAACTTCACTCACTTTCACACAGACGTGGCGTGACTCCCTCTGTATTTTCTACAAATATTCTCATGATATTTTCATTCTGATGAGATTTTTTCCATGGTGTACATGAATTTAAGCACATTACTAGATTGGCATTTAGGTCCCACCCTTTTACTATTGAAATAGATAAATGCAACCGCCACTTCTACTCCAACAGTTTCTTTTCTTGCGCTTTCCACCTGAGGAACTCCCTTCTGATTTCTTGCTTCCCTGTCAACTACAATCTTCAAAAATTTAAATGCAATTTCAATCGCCATCTTCTGTATTTTTGATGTCTCAGTCATCACCATTTTCTATTTTCTCATTCACTTTCACTCCCTGAAAACCCTTCCGTACTAGTGGTATCTCCGTCTTGCTTGGGGCGAAATTATTAAAAACAAATGTAAGCCTGTGGAGTGCTCTTCAATGAAGCCATGGCACACTGTACATTGTTTTTCTGCTTTTACTCTCCCCAAAAGTGTCTGGTCCTACACAAACCTTCACCATTTTCAATAAATCCTCTGTGGGGATTGTCTGAGCGTTCAGTTAATGCTATTTAACTGTCAACCCCTCACACGTCGAAATGTATCTATGTATTAAACTTGTAA